TTTGAACATAACATCATTTGAGTTTACATCTTGTTGGAACAGTAATCCCATTGGTTCTTAAAAAAAAATGTAATTTAAAGACTGTTTATAAACTTATTAGGCCTAATTTATTCTTTTGATTGATGTTCAACACTTTTCTTAAATATACTGCAAATCACATTTTGAACATTCATACTGATTCTGTGTACATAACCGACAATCACATAATCAATCTATAATTTATAATGTTACAAAACGAAGAACCTAAAAATACTATATGCTACTAAAATTATATTAGGGTGTTTCTCATCCCACTTGGTTGGATTAGATAATTGTAGGCCTAACTTAGCCATTGAGCCCTTGATTGTTTACGCAACTTCAGTTAAGTTAGGTTTGGTTGGGTAAGTATAGGCCTAGGCCTTACCTAACCTAACTGGTGACAGTCGGGTAGGTTGTAACTAACCTTCCCTGGTCACTTCCTGATATTGGATTGACAAAAAAATGTATATGAATTTATATATAGACTTATCGCATATCTGTTTATTTACGGTTCAACGCCAGCTCCCATTAGGATATTCTTCTGATTTATAACAGTCTAAAAAAGGGAATCAATCTCTTTCCTGGTATCAAAATGTAACTTTGGTGGTTTTTTTCTGTTCAAAATTGAAAAAAAAACCTTGCTGCAGCAAACCTGCAGACTAGGCGGACTTATATTTTTCTGATTGGATATTTAATAGAATATTTCCTCAATCATCTCACATTAATTCTATACTTAAATAACATTAGGTTTTTAGGCTTGCTGCTACATGGGAGTTAATGAAATGCGAGTTTTAGTGAAATTTTCATAACTTAGTATTAATACATTTTTGAGTTTACAATTTTTCTAAATCCATAATAACATCTAGGAATATTCAATTTTTAGTTATTGTAGCCATTAAGTTAACAAAACACGTCGGTGTACAAAATAATTTTTTTTAGCTCTACAAAATGCTGTTCGGAGGGAAACTGCAAAATATTAACTTAACTTAAGAAAATAAAATGTAAAACCTATTTTTGCCGTAAAAAAATAATGGTCTGATTATGATGGTTCGCAAACTTGATAGGTTTGCTTTTGGTTTTGTTTACTGTGTGATTTTTGCATTTTAGTTTCTATGAAAATTGTATACCGGTATTGATATTTGTTTTGACGATGCCTATTGCATTTCATGCCTAATGTAAAATAAAGCATTTCATTTGTTCAAATAAAAAGGTTATATTGATTCTGCCGACCTTTAAGGGAAATTCATTAAAAGGTGTTCCATTTCTACAATCCCCAACAAAGGAAAAAGCCTACAATAAGTTAACAAATGTATTTTTAGGTTGCATAGATATTATATTATTCTAGGTCTACTATTACTTGAGAATGGATTTACTTGTTAACAGTTGAAAAGATTTACTGGTCAGTCGATTTCTTGGAACTAGGCCTACACAATTAATTACAAACAAATATTCAGAATACATTTGGAAAGTAAAATTAATAACTCACCCCACTACTTAATTACACATAAATGCAAAGAGAAGACACAATTTTGAGACAGATTCGAACACATAAAATATTTCTAACAAGCATCTTCGGTTTTATTGAATCCCTTTTGTCAACTCTTAACGATATAACACTGAGTAGCATATCGACAATGCCTAAAATTTCATTTGAGCAGCCTTTTCTTTTCAACAACTAAAAATAATGCTAGCACAAGGATAGGCACAAGCACCTGGACTCTAAAGAAAAGATTTTAAAAGCGAGTAGTTTCTAATAAATACAAAAATAGGTAATGTTTTCACAATTGAGCTGAAGCAACTTAGAAACAAAATCTCATAGGCCTACTCTATATGTAGACTATCACACTATCAATACAAACAACCAATACAACAACAAATACACAAGACAAACAATACAATACAACAAACAAAGTTGAAAACAGAAGTAGGCCAAGTTAAAAATTAAGTTTAATCAAACAAATGTTACAAGGTCATTAACAGTTTGGAAGTTTAGCAGAGGTTTTGGGTTGAAAATATAGATCGCTTGTTTTTTACTAGTCACAATACATTACACCTATGTAAAGTGAATTTAGTTCTCGATATTAAGACAAAGCATACACATTGCTATCATTTCGTTGGGACTATTAACGTTTAGACAAATAAATGTTATGGAATATAGAGGCCTAGTTTACAATAATACTAACACATAAAAATAACATAGTTTTCTAATAAAATTTTATTTCTTTATCTTTACAGATTTTAAAAGTTTAAGTAAAAGAACCCTACCGTACTCTATAAGTTTTTTGGAACTAGGCCTTGGCACTTGGCATATATAAGCCTATTCACCCATTACTCGGCTTATAGGCCTACCTTGGCCAGCACTTTAAAAATATAAATAGTTTCTGGGTGTTTTGTAACATACTGTACCTAGCCTGGTGTAAGGTAAAACTAAAAAGGTTGAAAGGAGTCAGAGATTAAATTCAGTCCATCCAGTTTAAATCAATAGGCTACACATACACATACATGCACACACAAAAAAAAAACTCACAAAAAATAAATATGAATTTATTTAATAAATATTGGTTATAAATGAACATATAAAAAATAAAAATAGGCACCATCAAACTTCATATGTAGTTTCAATTGTAGCTGGAGTTAGGCTTATGCCTGTGTTCTACCGAGTAGTCAGTATGGTTGATATAGCCTATGTTGTCCAGTACCAGGCCTACTGTACGGTACTTCAGAAAATGATAGGTAAGTTTAGGTCTAATTTTTTCAAACCATGATTTCTAATGTACGAGAAGCACTGAACAACCTTCTGCAGAGTGTGATGAATATAGTAGGTAGGTCATAAGATTCTGGCCAAAATGGAGCTTTGCTCTTGCAGTGTATGGATAACTAGGTTTAGAGATTCTTCAAATCAATTAGTTTCACATGACGTATGTAAAATAACCTATTCAAGCATTATTAACACATATAAGTTAACTTAGGCCTAATTAGATTTGAAAACATGGTAAGTTTACATCACAATATTGAGCCAAATTTATTCTCCTAACCATCTGGAGCTCAAAGATCCCTTAAGAGTGAGCGTAGCCAACATTGTTTGGCCATACAGTACAGACTGGCCCTATACTCCTACTTCGGTATACACTGTAACCGATCACAAGAGTCGGCAACAAGCTTCCTCTTGAGGCCAGTTTCTTTGGAATATGAGCTAACTTGTCCTTCTTCAAAAAGTGAAATTGCCTGGTTGAAAACGTTAATAGGGTAAGATTTCTATTTCTGTTTGGTTCATTAATCTTTTTTCACAACTGTTAAGTCTTACGCACGTGCCTGAAATTTTTTCACGCCATTTATTGGTTATTGTGGTTCTATTAATTGATTGCAGCTATTATTTATTACTAATTGTTGCTCTATTAGGCCTAGACCTATTATTGTTGTTCAATTTTTCTACCAAGTTAGTGTTCAAATTTATTTATTTTTGTTGTTTTGTATTAGATATGGTTGCTAATAAGTAATCTGTTATTATTTTCATTGTTACCATGTAGGCCTAGTCAAATTCATTTTTTAAGTGTTATTGATGCCATGGTTCTAGTTACTTGCTCTATTTAGGCCTATTCATCTAGACCTAGGCCTATCTCTGTTCATAGTCATTATATTCATCGTTTCTCTAGGTTAGTATAGGTAATAGACCTATGTTAAATGTTACCTCTGTAGGCTACTTTGACTAGCCTATCGTAATCATCAGTAAATTGGCTTCACCCTCGAAATAATTAAATAAGTAGGTAAACTGACAGGCTACCTTTAATGGCTGAGCAACATAACTTACTGGCACAGCAGATGGAATGATGCTGGACATTTATCACAGCAAAGAAGATTTCCACCTTCTTTACACGCATCACATGAGTCGTGATTGTGGCCTTTTCCTGGTTTTTTGTAATAAGGATGAAGATCCAAGCCCTCTTTCTTCTTCACCTTACCTTCATCACTCACAGGGGGAGCAATCAAGGCCTGAATTTGCTGAAACCATCATACATTCATGCAACTGCAAAAATTGAAGATTACCAAATAATTCTATGTTGACCCCAAGCTATAGGCTAGTCATAACGCTGACTCTCAATACCCCTCAAAGTATGCTACCAAGACATTAATAAATGGTTCACGCCACCTTTTTGTAATGGAACCACAAAATTTAGTGTATAAACGAACATAACCTCTAAATAATTACCTCCATTAAGCCACCTGAAAGGTCCATATCATACTTATTACTTTGATCCGACATTCTTAATATAATATTTCAATTGTTTTCATAAGTAACATAAGAAAGATAAATCCGCACAGTCGTCATATGAACAGATTCAAGGGTCCAAACGATCTAGCCTCCACAGGCATTAGAGTTCTAATCGTTTGCCAAGTCCAAATGACGATAGGATACAACTAAATTGTGATAATCAAACGTTGTCGATAAATGTTCAACTTAAGGAATTTTACAACCGTAAATGTAAGAAATCATAATTCACTAGATTTACATGAATTTGCCTAGTTCGGTACAAGAAACGAAGCACAAAATCTCCCTTCATCACAAACAACTAGAATGCGCAGATGTGAAAAAAACTCACTTTTTCCGGCACAAGAAGCAGGCAAAAGTAAAAAAAACAAATTACAAAAAAAGGAACAAAATTGAATAATTCCAATGAAAAGTAATCGACTGCATGCATAAAATGTAAATAATAGACCTAAATTAGATTAATACAATATTTTATACATCTTAAAGATATACCAAAATAAAAATATCTAGAACATTAAAAACAATCTTCTATGTTTCTCTCCAAAGGCTAGATCTAGTAGATGGTAAGCAAAGTTATTACAGTAAAAACGGCCCCATGGTACCATTGTC